TGGTTTCACTAAGTATGTGGGGAAACTTAGCTCAAGCTTAACTAATACAGTTCAGGTTCAGAAATCTATGCCTAGAGAGAAAAGAGAGAGCGAGCAAGAGCTGGGATCTCACCAGTCCAAGGCACTCAGGTTGACAGGTAAAGTTCTTAGCATAATCCTTGAAGGGAGACTATCTGTTTCTTCCAAGTTCTCGAGAACAACTGCGGATGGTGTCAGAGAGATTTCTCCTCTTGAAGCACAACTTTCCTGCTTTTTTTTATAGATTTTTATACCCTCAGTTCAGCTTCTTCAAAGCATTCTTTTAATAGTGTAAATAATTGTTTTCTATCGACAAGGGGTTATCTGGTTTGGAACGTCTCAAGAAACTGCTTAACAACCAGGAAAAACATAAGTTTTTAAGGAGTAACCAGACACTTAGGAGCCAGCTTGAAATTCTTATGGGTAGCAGATATACTGGATGGGATACCTCCTTGTTTCTTCAGAAACAATAGATAGCTTGCATCATCAGGGTTTTGGATTTTTACCTGTTGTGAACAAAGAATTCACTGCAGTCTTTGCTTCAGGCTTTCTGTTCTCCATCTCCCATGTAAATGAATTGTCATCTGGTTCTATCTCGGATGCAAATGAGACCTAGGGCAGTTGCTTCCTTATCTGGAAGGCTTTAGATGCGGCTCCCACTGCATCTTCGTTGTCTTTCATAATCGGTTCTTGTTCAGGTAGAGGAGGGGAGAGGGTGTGGGGCGGATTCTTTGTGAGTCATACAGTCTGTGTCCTGTGCCAGGGTTCCCCAACAACACGGAGCTAAGAGGTAACATACTGAATAAGACTGAGCTTGGATGAGTAGATTTTTTTTCAGGGGGAAAAAAACCTTTGCTTTTGAATCTGAATACACTCATCAGCTCTAAGTCTATGGTCGTTTATTTTGGAACCTAATAGGCTTTTAGCTTTACTGCCAGGTTGGGGATAGAGTTCTGTAGGCCAGTATGGAAATATGGGAAACGGTCTTCCTTTCATCAGTCTAAAATTTGCTGCTTTTCTGTTTAATTGACAGTTCCCTTGTTCTTGCATTTTAAGGCAGTGGGCATTGCCATTCACTTTCCCCTACAGAAGTACATTATATTAATTCATAATAGCTCTTATGGGTATTATTATTTGTCTTTGGATGGAAACTTTATTCTGTATTTCTGGTTTATTCTCATGGATAACCTTTTAAAAAATATTCTGTTAAACACAGAAAAAGGCTTTTTAGTTTTATGTGCTCCCAACAGAGGTGTAGTCAGTTGAGAAATACGATGCAAGGCATAGCCTAATATTCAGAGATGAAGATGTATCATAATGACAGCTGCTCAGCATGCAACTATTGTTTCCTTTCTCTTTTAGGTATATGACAGAGTTGCAGATGAAACGGTATTACCAATGGACAAGCGGCTTGACAGACTAATCACTCATTGTGGCTCAGTAACTGGGTATATTTTTGCTCTGTTTGCTGTGTTAAATTTTCTCTTTCTGGTATTTCTGAGGTGGATGACTCCAGATTCCATTATTGAAGCTGCAAGAGATGCCACAGGTCCTAATGGAGTATGGACTAAACAGTATTTTCATAATCAAAAAAGAAAAGAAAAAGAGAATTCAAACTGTTAAAATGTTTGTAAAGTGGGGAAGAAGGGTATTGGTGTCTAAATAAGTTTTTAATAGTTGCTAATAGAATTAATTCTACAAAGAGACATTATTTTTAAGCTCTTAACTTTCCTAAATTGTTGGAAAGGAACCTGATGAAATGTACTACCTCAATTTAGGATAGTAAAAACTAGTTGTGGACTTATGCAAATATCTAGATACAGCTTTTTTGCACTTAGTTGGGCGAACAATGGGAATTGGTGCATCTCAGGTGTAAAACTTCTTACGAGACACAAGAATATAAGATTTTTCTCTTCCCAGAGTACTACTCTTTCTATGAACTGACAAATGTATGGCACCTGGGGTGCTAAAACACAAATGCAGTAGCTTAAGATGGTCTCTGCCAATTCCTGTTAGGACTAATAAATTTATAGAGATAAGAGGAATTGGCAGGACTTGAAAGGGGGGGGTGGGAAAAAGCACTGCCCAAATCAATCAGCAGCTGAAAATGAGATGTGAAATCATATCTATAGAATGTGACACAAAACAAGCATGTTACCCCATCCGCTTTCAACATTCAGTGTGACGAGTGCCCGCAGTAGTTCTCCCAGACCATGTCTGGAGACGGCTCCTACCTGCACGCACAGAACTATTTTGCAATGATTCTTCAGTACTCTGCCTAAATTTGATCAGTATCTCTTGGATATATCAAGGATCCATAACTGGTTTTCCTATTTTAGAAAACGCTAAATACTTTAGACAAGGAATAACCTAAGCAGTTAAAATTATGGCTTTTTCTTGTTCACAGCTATCATATGAATGAGAGAACTGTGCCAGTTCCTAACATAATATAAAGAGACAGCCTTTCCAAAATAGCTCAGGCCTGTAGACTCTGAGTAGACTGTGCCAAAATGCGTGGCAAAATGCAAGATAGAGAAGAAACATCCACTAAGGGCTAGATAAAGACCATCATAATTTTTTTTATTCATAATCTAAATGACATTTGAATTTATCTTCAGAAGGGAAAGTGTTAAAAGGTTGTCACATCACTTAGACCACACCAAAGATGATTTAAAATTTACACAGCACACTGAATTTTTCTCTGTTATTCATGAACAGAAAAATATAATATGCTAAGTACATCTCCTGGCTGTTCCCATTACTTGCTGTGAGTTCAGATCCTTCATATTTATTGATTAGCTAGCCTTAATCTCCCTGAGTAGTTTGCATCTCTGTAAGAAACAACTTTGAATGTGTAAGAAGAGAGAGGATGAGTGTGATTTTTATATTCATGTAAAACAGCTCTCAATGCACTCTGTCAAATGCACTGGATTAATTTTATTGCAATAGCATTGTTTGTAAACTGAAAAGGTTTTATGAGTTTGTGAACAATGATATGCAGACAGATATTTGTATTTGGATGTGCAATATACAAAGATTTATTTTTAAACTTAGCAGGGTATAACTTAAAACATGCATCCTGTTATACACATAGCATCTACATTTTAAGATTAATCTTGTGTTGAGGTGCAAAGGTGATGGTGATTTATCTTTTTACTAAATACTGAATTGAAAGTATTTTAATGAAATACTGAAAGGATGATGAGATTCCTTGTTTACAAAGTCTAGTGTCAGGTTTACCATTAGAAAAAATGGTCAGATGTAATGCTACACTGATCGCTGGGAACTACCCTGGGGCTGGACAGCAGGAAGCTGCATCCACACTGCCAATGTTTCCCAGCTCCTCACTGGTTGGAAGCTGCGCCCATGCTACAGCTGGTGAGGAGGAGAAGTGATGGCAGTGGTGTGGGCATAGGTCCTTGCTCCAAGCCTCAGTATGGGCACAAACAAAACCCTCCGACTCTAGGGGCCATATGTTGCTGATCCTTGAATTAAGTTAATATTTTATTAAGAAAAACACCATACTTTTTAAAATCTGGTGCACTTTTTTTATAAGAACTTCTTAAAAATGAATGCCATTTCACATTCATTTTATAGTGTATTTTTTTTTAAATAGTATTATGTTGATTTCAGTTATTTAACTTTTCTCTTGATTGCCAACAAAGTATAGAAATTCCATGCAAATCACATACAACTTGAATGGGAGGGTAGTCGAAACAATATTTAAACTATATAAACTTCCTTGTGCCAGAGTATTACTCACATTTAATCCAAGGAGGCCTTTTCATAGTTTTGCATAATTTACAGGTTACTTAAATATGTTTTACTTTGCAATTTAATGCACTGATGCTTTTACCTAAAATGGACCCACAAAACACTAGCAAATACAGAAACTTAATGAACTGCTGCTGCTGCTGCTTACTCTTCTAGCAATGAAAATAGAACTTTGTGTGGTAAAGAATGCTGTGAGGGAAATAATTTGAACAGTTGCAAACGAAGTTATTTGTATAAGTAGCTCAGTTACAACTGTACCAGGTTTCAGAGACTGTATTTTATAATACCCTTTTGTTGCCTGATCCTTCTCTTCCTGCTGTTTTTTCCCTCTTTTTAGCCCTGATCCTGCAAACACAAATATGACGACTTGTTTCACTGAACTCATTTGGTCAGCTCTCCTGTATAAAATGAATCACACAAGTAAATGCTTGAAGGATTGAGGTCTGGACCTGCAGTATGTAAATCTGATGAGTAAATGCAAAAGGTTGTGATGGCACTGCCTTTGACAGTTGTTCATCAGGCAGCAGTGATGGAAATGGGGGAAAGAGAATGTTTGAGGCTGTAGAGACAGAACTTAAGGCACAAAATATCAGCAGATATACAGATTTCTTGGGTAAATGCTAGTATTAAAATAAACACCAATAATAAGGCAACTTTTGAAATTTTAAAAATCTGAAAATACTTTCATCTAGGAGATGTAAAATATCAGGAAAATATTACCAAGCAATGAATTTCTCACTTGTGTGGTGCAAATTTTAGGGTGAGAAACTTTTAATGTGACAATTGATGGAAAAATACTTTGCTACTCTTGATGTAAAGGTTCATTCAGAGTAGGAAAAGTAATTTGATTTATTTCCTTATTTCAAGATGATGAGAACCATAAATTTCTCTGTAATGAGATTCGATTCCATAGCACATCCTGTGCCTATACACTGTGTGCGCAGACACTGTGAATTTATATATAAACAGCATGTTTATTGAAAGTGACCTGTTAAGATTAGAACAAATATCAAGTCCAGTGTGAGTGTCTCCATATTGTCAGATGCATTATTCAGCTCGTTTTTTTAATGATGCAGATGGCTCTATAAATGCATAGTAAATTGTAACGTAATCATTTTTCTTGTGGTCAGGCATTTCTGTATGTCTCTTTTCTTAAATATCTTTTTTTCCCTTTTGGTACTAGTTCAGTTACTATTTCCCCTTTGTTTGTGTCATCTAATTAAGGATTTGTTGGTTTGTTTCCCACTATCAAAAGTGTTTTATTTTTTTAAATAAACAATAAAATGAATGGCAGAATTTCAGAGGAGAAAAACACTGTTTGCTAAATTGCAGTTCTGTCCTATGCTTCTATCTGGGTTTCCTGTTTTTTGCATCAGAATAAAAACATTTGCAGATTAAGCGCATACTTCTCGGTGTCCCAAGGTGTTCATTAGTTTTTTCCAGTACAACTAGGAAATGTGGTCCCTGCCTCAAATAAGTTGCAATCTCAGATCCCATTCTTGCAAATTCTTGTACAAGCTGCATGCATATGAGGCCATAGAACTACTTACACCTAAAGTTTATATCTGTATACACATAAGATCATGGTCTTAAAGACAGAGAATGAATACAAGAAAAAAGGGAGGAAAAGAGTGCAGCATTTATAAACAATGGAATCAGCTGTTGGAAGCAGTCTTATATTTTTTATTTTTTTAAGGTGCATTTTAGAAGCACTTCATGGGCATCCTGGGGGGGCACCAGATCACCAACGGGGGGGCAGGGGTCCCCCAGCGGCCGACTCCTGAGCCTGGAGCCACCAGTGGCAAAACCAGCAGTGCACTTACACTAGCACTAGCCGTGCTCCAGCTGCAAAACCAGAAATATGCATTGCCAGTGAAGCATTTTTGTATTATTTTCCAGGATATTTTATTTGCATTGGAGTTGTGAAGTGCTGTTCTCTGCATACCACCTTCCCCTGTAAGATTAGGGATGAAATTGAATTGACTTGCAGAGGTTACACCAAAAGAAAACAGTATGGTCAATACAGTGGCCAATTGAGTAAGAAATGGGTGGCTTATTGTAAAAAAAAAAAAGTTACAGAAGACCTTTTATTCAGCTGAATCTATTATTGTGCCAAAATATTCTTAATTACACATTTGTAAATCTAGGGGTAAATATTGGGAGCTGGGAGGAAAGACTGTTTGCTAGGGCACCCCAGGGGAGAACAAGGAGCAATGGCTGTAAACTGTTAGAGGATGGTTTCAGGTTGGATGTAAGGAAGAACTTTATGGTAAGGGTGACCAGAAGCTGGAATAGACTTCCCAAGGAGGTGGTGCAATCCCCAACCTTGGAAGTCTTCAAGAGGAGACTGGACAGACACCTGGCTGGGATCATTTGATCTCAGCAGTATTCCTGGGAGGGTGGGGGTGGAGTTTAATCCCCTTCCCTGACCCCAGTCCCCAGCTGGGGTTTACCTGCAGAGGGGCATTCCCTGCCTCTGCCGCCCTGCACTCCCACCCAACCCTTCTCTGCTGGAGCAGACAGCCTAGCCTAGAGCTAGAAAACATGATGGGATGTTGTGGGGACTGTGATTTAACTCGAACCAGGAAGAGGTCTGAGACAGAAGTTTCATAAACTGGTTTGACCCAAATCAGTTAAGTCTGATACTACATTCAACCAGGTTTATCTTAAACCAGTTTCAGCTATTTTGAAACTTATGTTCTGTTACAGGTTTAAACCAGTTTCTGATCACTTAAAATGGTCTATGTGTAACTTCTGTCCCTAGCCCTGAAGACTAACTGGTTCAGAGAAATGTAAGTTTTCATAGGTAATAGCCTACTTCATCGGATGCTAACTGTAAATCTGGAGATTAG